CATCGATTGGTTGCCTCCCGCACACTCCCCAACTTCGGCCAGGGATTGAACCTGCAACCCAGGTACCTGCCTTTGGCTAGAATCAAACCCAGGACCCTTCAGTCCGCAGGCCAATGCTCCAGCCACTGAGCAGACTGGCTAGGGTGAAACCAAATTATTTTTTGAAAGAAGACAAAAATATTTTAAAAGGTTCATTAAGGAAGGGTTATCATATGTAAAATATTCTAAAGTGTATAGTTCATAGTATAGTTTTTATTCCTTTGTCCAAGAATTAATTAAGCCTTTGATTATTTTGTTTTATTTTAAGAAAAATGCTAATATACAAATTGTGATTCTGGGTAAATTTTTTGAGAAGTAAGTTATGAAAAAATTTTAGCTCATTGTATTTCTTTCAATAATCAAGCAAATAAGTAAAGAGATAAAGAAAAACGATAGCAGTTATTTTCATGCATTATTATTGTACTTCATTTATCCTTTTTGCATCCTTTTTTATTATTCACTTAACAGAGCAAATAAGTAGGGATCTACTATACTAAAAATTATCTTTTTAAATCAGAGACACAAGTCATGTTCAAACGTTTCTAAACTTTATTTACAAGTCATTGGTACCATTTTGAAAATATAATCATGATGTAAGGAGTGTTCCCTTTCTGATAATCCTAGTTTGTTACTTTTAACTTTTTAAAAGTTAAGTTTGGATTTAACAAGTCATTTATAGTTAATCAGGAGATTCATGAATTCAGTTTCTCTAAAATTAACCAGGCCCATTTTTTAATATAACTTAAGTTCTCCAACACCTTCCTAGGGGGCTCTTCTGTTCTCATGCAGAGAGATCTCTCCAGTCACAACCAGACTCATCAGACCCATTGGAGGAACACAGCTTAGATCTAAACTAGACACCCACTACCAACCCCATTCTTACACAACATTTTAGTATAGAATCTGGTGCCCATGACAGAGCTATGAATAGATCACTACTAGAACACAAAAAAAGGACATCTCACCTTGCTAGGAGTGATCCTATTTTATAATGAATCATATAATATTCTAATTTATGTTAATTATTTATCTCTCTCCTCAGATAGATTTTTGTCTGTTCTGTTTGCTCTATCCCAAACAACCAAAACTGAACAATGCCTGGCTCAGTATCAGTACTCAGTAAATGTTTGTTGGGTAAATGAAAGTATGGTGTTCCTAGTAGGAAGTCATTAGCTTACACATAGAACTGGAAATCAAGAAGTAGCAACACAAGAAAGGTATATTTAGAGAGATGGAAGTAAATATCAAAATAGTGAGCTAAAGTGGGGGAAATGGTTATCTCTGGGGAAGAAGGCAAAAGACTGCTTTTTTTTTTGTTACTAACCCTGTAGAACTATATATGACATTGAAATATGTGCATATATAATATTGATAAAATTCAAAACTAAAAATAAAAGGAAAATATTGAGTTACCTAATAGATATTATAAGGTCTTGAACCAAGATAATGACAGTAAAGTTAGAAAGTGTGTTATGGATGGTTGTGAGAAATATTTGAAAGGTGAAAATGAACAGAATTTGGTGACTGGGCATTAAGGACAATAAAAGGATGAGCTTAGAACCTTTTCTGGACTTCTGGCTTAGCAGCTAGATAGATAGCAATCCCTTCACAAAGAAAATGGATGGCCAAGTTGGGGTGGAAGGATGGAAGTTTCTGTTTCACATATGGGAGAACTGAGTTTCCTCTGTAACAGTCAAGATATCTAGTATATATACATAGTTGGATATATAGGCCTAAAGCCTATGAGAAGTCTGGTCTGAAAATAAAATGTCATGTAATAATAGGTGGAAGCTGAAGCCAAGAGTGTCCCCTAGATAGAATGTGTATAGTGAAATAAAATGGCTCCAGGACAGAATCCTAGGGAAACATTAATATTTAAGAAGAGCCCATAGCCCTGGGTGGGTAGCTCAGTTGGAGCGTCATCCCAGTACGCCAAGGTTGCGGATTTGATCCCCAGTCAGGGCACATACAAGAAGCAACAAGTGAAAGCATAAATAAGTAGAACAACAAATCAATGTACCTGCCTCCCTTCCTCTCTCTCTCTTTCCCTCTCTCAAATCAATTTTTAAAAAAGAAGAAGAGCCATAAAAGACAAGTAAGGGATAGCAGGAGAAATGAGAAAATCA